ATACTGACAACTGAAAAGTGAGACTACTATGAGGTGTCCCTGCATTATTCTGCCCATAAATTAAAAAACTAAAAGTTATAATGTTTTGCTTCCTTCACAATCCCGCAACACTTAGTCTTTGAAGTATCTATCACTAACAGCCAAGTCATACTATATCCTGTTCCCAGTTCTGAATATGAAATTTAAACTTAAGAAGAAAATAAATAAATGGGTAATTTGTTCCATACCCATGTTTTTGTCTCTGATTTTCCCTAAAGCCCCCTCCAAACTGTCATTTGGTTTGGTCCCAGTTGAGCGGGCTCAATCAACATTATTGTTTAAAAAAACCATTACATAACTCGTCATGTTGCGTTATGTAACTATACTACTACAATATAACATGTGTTATTTCCATACAACTTACATTATTTCAATATAACATGTATTAGTCAATATAAGTTCTAAAGACTTGAGAGTATATCCTTTCTTAGAACTTGAATTAGTTAAGTCGTTACTTCTGAATTGTTTGTTAAGTCTTCATGTCTTGTTGTGGTGACATCATTATTAGATTGTGAAATTATGACTATGACTGATAATATGAATGCAATTATGAACGAGCTGTAAATTTATGTTATGTATTTGAGTATTTGACCGTGATGCTCTTTAGTAAATCTATATAGCTTGTACTAAATTGACGAATTTTTATTAAAATATTTTTTTGTTATGATATTTTGTTCCTAATTCTTAAAATTATTAGGAGCATATTTTATATTTTTTAAATTTAACAGTAAGAAAATATTTTGTTCCCAATTGAGATGTTATATTTGAAAATTTTGATGATTCTAATTATTAAAGTCATTATTAATATTTGCAATATAAAATATTTAAATATTTAAATTTTGATGATTCTAATTATTAAAGTCACTATTAATATTTTGTATTTATAAAATATGTAAATATTTAATACAAAAATAAACAAAAAGAGAGGAGAACGAAATTGGTTCTTCCCCTTTTGTTTAAAAACTGGTTTCTTCACGGACCTGGCGATGGAAAAAGTGGCTCCCCCGAATGCTTGCGTCGAGTTTGGCTTCCGTCCGTTGACGGATCCGCCCACGTCTTGATTTCACAACTAAAAAACGATGTCTTCTCCTCAGATTTGAAACGTTGTGAAAGAACTTTTGCGTGGCAAAGTTTGGAATTCAAGAACGAGTTTTTGGAAGAACTCGCAAAAGAAAAATTGATTTTGAACGAAAGATCGGTTTAAATAAAAGCCAAAAGGGCTTATAAGGAGGAATGAAAAGGCTACTGGTGGTTTCGGATTTCTTTAGGCTGAGAAAATCCCCAAAACCAAGAAAGCCCTTGAACTGAACAAATTGATTTCAGTTTTTATAGAGGATTAAGGGGGTGAAACCCGCCCCTAAATTCTCTCCTAAGTGGGGGTGTAACCGCCAAAAATCGTGGAAACGGTTTTTAGGAACCGTTCAAACTCATGCTGATTTTGAAGTCAAACGGCCCCACGTTGGCGCTTCAGGACCCAACCTCACGTTCTTTGGAATTGAGATGCGGAAGGTTGGGTGTTGCTGAACATTGATGAAAAACGCGACCTCGCGTTTTGGGCTTGTGCGAATGGTCGACGCGGGGGTCGCTGGTTCGTTTGAAACACCACTTGAAACGGCAGGTTCAGCTTTCCACGTTTGGCTGTGCCTTTCGAAAACGCGGGGTCGCTGTGCTTTTGACGCGCGAGGGTCGCTATGCTTGGGACGACGCGAGGGTTCGCTTTTGGCTTGGACGACGGCGAGGGTCGCTTTGTGCTTTGACGGACCCACGAGAGTCGGCGTGGCTTGACGACGCGGCAGGGTCGTCGTTGGGCTTGACGAACCGGCGAGGGTCGCGTGGCTCGCGAACGCGAGGGTTCGCCGTGGCACTGGCGACGCGAGGGTCGCTGTGGCTTGACGACGCGAGGGTCGCCGTGGCTTGGCGACGCGAGGGTCGCCGTGGCTTGGCGACGCGAGGGTCGCTCACATTTCCAAAGTGGTGACGCGGGGATGACATCCGCGTCTCAGAATGAGCTATTTGACTTGTAGCTTCTTCTGTGGTGCATTGCAAGGACCGTTGTTCAGTAATCCTGGCTTTAACTGTTGTGGAGTGTGAAAGTCGTCAGATTGTAACTTTCACTGTAGATTGTGAAGACTGCTGAATAGAGTTTTCATCCGTCGTCGTGAAGGTCGTCAGATTGTAACCTTCAGCAATCTACGCGAAAGTCTTCAGATTACAGCCTTCTGGAAGTCGTCAGATTGTAACTTCCATCATCGGTGGTTGATGGGGGATAAGCTATCTATTGTGATTTTTAGACAGCCTACACTCTGTTATGTGTTATGTTTTTTTTTTGCGTTTTTTCTTTAACCCATAACAGGAGGTAGAGCATTACGTTATGCGTTATCGTTATTTTCAACATTGATCAACATATTTACTTTAAGAGAAAATAATCTGAACATGGATAATAATCCTACAATGAAAAACAAAGAAGCCTAAGAAAACCAGAAAACTGCACCCGACATGTGATTCAATTACCAGACATCTATAGTAAGGTGCACCTAACATGATATGATACAATCTGATAAAATAATGGATCTGAAATAATACCAGTTAGCTTAAGTATGAGTGACTTCTAATAAATACCCAATACTCGAATTTCCAAATACTTCAATAGAGCAAAATAACTTAGAACTTTGCTTACAAGATGCAAGAACTTTTCACCAGCCGATCGAAATAATCTGCAGATTTCCCCAGGTACAAATGCTGGACCATTCTCATAACCTCGGCTACCACCTCCAGAGAAAGAAGAAGCTATCTCCTGATGCATATATTACCAATAGTTCAATTTGTTGTATACTTTATCAACATGCTTGGCTAAATAAAGAACACAAGAAAATAGTTTGCCAAGAATTTCATTAGCACATGTAGACTAAAGATGGGTTCTAGTATCAGTATCTTGCCTCTGTAATTCTTGGAATTGCACTTTGTTCTATAAAAACTGAAACCTGAGCCAGCACAAGAATGAGTCCTGCGTCTACTTTGTCGACATGCATGGAATCCATCCCACTTACATCCTGGCTGCTGGAATTGCTTTTCCCGGAAAGCAAAAGAAATTGCTTATCCAGATTCTGAAAGAAGCTTTGGAACCCTTCTTGTGCCCAGTCAATCATTAAATCCCTCAGTTTGGCTAATAACTCCAGGTCGTCATTGAGGAGCTGCCGGAATTCCTATGAGGAAATAAGAGCTTGCGATAAGTACACTGAGAAAAAGGTAAAAATACCCATAAAATAATGTTGGGCTATAAAGCACAATACACCAAGAGAAAAAAAGATAACTGATAACATATTTTCCATTAGCTAATAAGAACCGAAAAGAGAATTCACTAGGGCAGTCTCAGATAGGAACTTCCTGTGTCCCCAAGACAGGATTGGTGGAGCTTCATGCAGGCAAAGAGTTGTATATTCTGTAGGGACCATGTACTTACTGTGCTTCCCCAAGACAGTTATTAGTAAAGAATTATAAACACTCTCATATAAGCGGACTTCCAAGTAAATGAAATCAGAAATGAGAAGAGTACAAATGACTCCTTGCTTTCTTTATTTCATTCTAAGTTACACGGATACAAGTATAGGTACGGTACATGGAAAATTTGTAAAAGGTAGGGTACAGTGACATGACTACACATACATGTACATATAATAACAATTTACAAGTCAATGTTATTTTTCAATCACGTGCTCTGAAATAAAATTCCTATGACATGTATATGTTTCTTTTGTAATATATATTGCTCTTTTTTAACTTGATATCAAAAAGACCTTTATAATCATAGTTTTGAAATTATGGGATGAAACAAACCCGGCTTATGTCCAACAAGTTTCAAGAATTGCGTGTGAAGTGTAGAATATACGTCCAAGAAGTATATGGCGAATGTTTTAAATTAAAATGTATCTTATATAATTGAGTATACATTTAAATAAGTGTATGCAAATATCCAAGGAGTGTCCATTCAAGTTTCGATGTTGGGAACAGGTACGACAAGGATGCAACATAGGTATGGCTCTAAATAGAAGAACCCATGCAACAGAGATTTTATTTGTAATGCAACTGAATATTAGAACATTGTCATAACTATCATGATGAAAGTGAGTATGCTCATTATTCAACTGATAAAATGCTAGAATAAGTGTATCCTTACCAGCAAAAGGTCCATGCTTCCCTGAATTACTGCCTTTTTGCTGCTCTCCAAGGCAAATTGCAATGGAGATGCTTGTAAACCTTCCTTTTTCCCAGACCGGATTTTGATGAGAGATTCTGTCACATAATAAAAATACACATACTTTTACAGTCAGACAGAAGACATAGTGCAGTCATACATGCAGATACTTTAATAATTGCATCAATTGCATTTATTCCTCCCAAAATTTTCCATACTAGCACTTATACTCTTAAAGTAAAGTTTACATCAGTTTTCCCTCTCAAAGTTTATCTCGTTAGCACTTATTACCTCCTACCAATTAAAAATGAGCACATGGTTATTTTTAAAACCACAATATCATTGTTTTTACAATTATTCTGTAGTTTCAAAAAATATAAATCATTTAATTCAAATTTTAATTTAAGATATAAATATAATTATCTACGATCTTTCTTAATCCAAAAGTGGTCCCACCCCTTCCCAGATCCCACGCATTGCTCGAGCTTCATGCACTGGGCTGCCTACTACATTTAAAAGATCTTATATTGAATTACAATTTTGGGTTTAAAGTTTTGAATTTATATTCAAAATTAATACACTTGATTTTCAGATTTATATTAGAATTAGAATAAGGAGAATGGAAAAGGTCTGAGTCAATATAGATATTTTAATACATTATAAGTCTTCAAAATAAAATAGCCTTAATTTATGTTTTGATGTATTAAAATAATTTTTGGTTATTATTATATTTTAAACAAGATTGTAGGAAGTAGTGAAGAGGCAATGTGCTACTTTGGATTTTTAGGGCTTAAGCAGGAAAAAACACCAAGTTAATTTTTAAACATTTAAATAGGGACAAATATTCAAAAAAAGAAAAAATAAGTTAAAATTACGAAAATTATAAAACAAGCAAAACTTGGAAGAAAAAAAATTCTACAAATTCATATGTGATGTTTATAGAGATTCTAAGCATGAAACAAATGTGCAACAATACTTAGATTTAATAAAACGCGATATTAACAAAATATTATACATAGTGTAATCTGATAAACTAATATGTAGTGGACTCTGTACATCAAATAGTCAACAAGTTAATGACTTGATGTAAATTATCAAAAAGAAAACTTTTAGTGGGCCCCTTTCGAGTTCGGTGGCTGCTTGTGGGCCACTTTTCATTTTAGGAGTGGGCTATTTTCAAGTGGAAAGCAGCTAAGGGCCGAAAATGCTTAAGCGCCACTTTTTTGTCATTTTTTACGACATTGATTTTATTACAGTGATAGATACATGTACGGGTAGAAGGATGTATTCATATCTATCACTAATACTAATAATTGTCATCAAATGTTTGAATAGCAAAGTCATGAAGTTAAAATTTTAGGGGGAATAATTGCAAGCATGAAAAACTTTGTGAGGTATATATAAAACTTACCCCTAATAATTTAGAAGATACAAGGGTGAGGATATTGTGTCGATAAAAAATGATAGAACAATTACATTGTTTTCCAAATATCCTACTTTCAAGTTTCAACACTTTCCCATCTTCAGATATTTTGAATACTGCGTCTTAAAGGATTGAGCCAGACTACATACTACAAGTGGCAATGGGAGTATTAGAAGAATAGTTATGATAGTCAACAGAATAACTAGGGAGATAAAGAAGCACATTTCACAAAGCAACAAGCGCAGTGAAGTTATGACAAAGTGACTAATGATGTACAACTATACAAGACAACGATCAACTGGAGAGAGTCCTTAGAACAGGAATCTACATGAAATCGTTATCTCTTGGCTTTATGGATGAACATATTTTGAAGATGAAGTTCTATGGTGCTTGTTATAATATTGGTTCATGATATTAAAGAAGGGACGATTCTGGAGTACAAAGGTAAGGACGCTTTAGAATCTTAAACAGAAAAAAAAAACAAATTTTAAGAAATGTAACTTTAGAAAAGCTGTGAGAAGAAATAAGGGTCAGCGAAGAAGAGAGATAACGTAGATAAGTAAGGGACAACCCAGAAAATCTGTATCATCACTTAGAAGATAGACAATTGTTGCTCAATTGTCTCTCCAAATCCTCGTTTTTGCCTTCTCTTTGCTGCCTCACGAAGTTGCTAAAAGGATCTATTGCTCAACATATTATTGAATAGTAGCGGAGAGGAGATGTTTCATTGCTGACTGAAGAGAAGGGAAATAACTGGCCTAATATGAACACAAACTAACACAATCAGACGTATCCCAACAGTATCCAAAACTTCTATTTATTTCATTGATACTCCAATATGTACCCAAGGAATATCTAGGTATATCTGAGCCATATTGTGTCTGATACATAATACATCAGGCATTATGTATCCAGGATCATTTGGGACTTTAAACATAACTCAGTAGGCTAGCAAGGCTCTTGAGAAATGGAAGGATTACCTGAGGCTTCAAGCAAAAGATGGGAGAATGCAGCAGAGATAAACCATTTGATAATGCCACTAGTAGCCTGAAACAAAGGTGAAAAGTTAGCATAGTAATATTGCAAATATCTCCTGAGAAACATCAACACATGCAGATTGCACCTAAAACACAGCTGAGAACCCATTTGAATAATTACAATTACTAAGAATGCAATGTGCTATGGTTCTGCATCAAAAAATAGGCACAAGACAAGAGTGATGCAAACTAACTAGCAGGTACAAGCATTGACAGATGCACGTATGATGACTCCCTTATTCAAAGTGAGTGGCTATGTTTAGTTCCTGAACTCCACCATACACCACCCAAAAAAAGTAGGGTTAATTACGAACACACCCCTCGTAGTATCACCCAATTGCGACCAGACCCCTTATAGTTCTTTTTTTTTTAAATAAACCCTCTGAGACGCAGTGTTGCCAATGCGCGAGGCGCAATGTGGGGCGCAAAGCATCTTTACGCGCACATGCGCAAGACGCAACGCGATGCGCACGCCCGAGTGATGCGAGACACACACCGCACACATAATTTTTCAATATATGTAATCAAGCGCGAAAGAACATGTTTTTAGAATTTACATGAAAAATATCATGATAAATAATATCTTACTACAAAATCACAATATAATGCCTTGATTTCTAATGCTAACACCCAACATAGTAGCAAAATTTATAAATTTTCAAATCAAATGTTAAATCAATGACTAATATCTAAGCAAAGGATTAGTAATGGTTCTCAATTGAAGACTATTAAAAAGGCCTAATAGATTTATTTTGCTTCTTGGGAGATGAAATATCAAGTATAAAGACTCGATTGAAATGTTAACAAACAATACTATATGAGGATATGTACTACATGCACCCTGCACAAAGTAAGGATGTACACGAGGCGCAAAAGGCGCTGCTGCATCAGATGTGGGGCGCTTCGCCACTGCCCCACATCGTAAGGCGCATGACGCGCAATGAGGCCCGCGCCTTTGAAAACACTGCTCTGAGTGAATTTTTTTTTACTCTTAAAATCATTAAAAAGGTTGAGGCGGCGGGTAGACACCCCATAGTTCTATTGGTGAGGATAAACCCTCAATTGCTTTTTTAAAAGAATAGTAAAAGTTCACTAAGGAGGTTTATTCGCACCTGGGCCAATACTACATGGGTCTATTCGCCACAAATATAACTACGGGGGTTTATTCACAATTGGGTGATACTAAAGGGGTCTATTTGCAATTAACCCAAAAAAGTATTTCGGGTACAACGAAGTATATACATAACTAGAGACACGTGCAACAGTAAAGTGGACAAATTGAACACCCAAACGCATGATAACAGGAAAAATGTAATACAGATGCTTGCAAAAATATTCCTGGCACCATGTACTCTCCTGTCAGCAACATGTATGTACATGTGCATTACTTTGGTCTCTAGTTAAACTATGAACAAATCGAGGTTTGGAGATTGAATGACAAATACAGATAATATAATAATTCCCCGGCAATCTTTGTACTGAATAAAATCTGAAAAGAAAAGAAACACACAACATTCACACAGCAATCGCTATTGGGAAAATCAATATGTTCCAAAAACATATTGTCAGCATATGCATAACAAGTTTGTCCATGTAATCGTGTTGGTGGAAGCACATTCCAAGATAGTCCACACTATCCAGTAACTTGGGACTGATCACAGTGTAAAATAATGGAAATTTCCGTCTGATATCTATAGCATTTGTGCAGGATAGGGATTGCGGGTAGACCAGTCCAACTTTTTGAATATGTTCAAAACTGGATGATGGTACTCATGTGATCCTCTCATCCTCCATAATTTATTGGTATTTGGATAATATTTTCATCTTATTGGAACTACTTTTTAGGTTTTCCTTGCTAATGTGAAAGAGGAATCCAGTTGTAACTTTGAATGCAAGATGAACTCATTGTCCCATCCATATTGATACTCAAGCATTTGCATTGAGGGTAGCACAACCAAGCGGACACCAAATCTTACTTTCTGATCTTTTAAAGTATGACAGATAGTTCATTAGTTAAGAGAAAACATAAACATGAATCGTTGACTGTCTCCACGTATAATGATTACTTTTCCATTGAAGTACTGAAGGTTCTTGTATAAGTATAAATAATAAGATAAAATCTTTATGAGTATCGTGCCTCGTAGGAACATTGACTTGAATAATGAATTGGAAGCACAAGAAAGTTCAGCTATTTTGGGAATCCTATAGCAAAATAGTGATAATATAACCTCCAATGAATAAACTGGGAGAGCAGCTTCAGGCAGAACTTCATCCATCACAGTTATATCATCCCAAATTGCTCCTGCATATTTATTAGTAAAAAAGATGTACTTAGACCAAATAGATAATCTCAATTAAGAAGATGGATGCCACGCAAATAACAAAAATCCAACGAAAAGGCGCCTTAAAAAATTTAATTGCAGCATCATTAACTTGATTGATGCAGTCAAAAGCACTTCCTAGGGAAACAGTAAAGTGTGCATTCATATTCTAGCTAATATTCAATTTCTAGACGACCGTACCTCAAAATCTCCATATTATAAGATTTTAGTGCAAAATTACTATATTTTTCACTTTGTTCTGAGGTATCATGTTAAGAAGATAAGTGCATTAAGTAGGATACACCAACCTTCAGTTTTGTGAGAAAAGGCTGGAAAAGGTAACGACTAACATGGAAAAGCTATCAATTATATGGATGCAGTTAAGCTCTCGCAATCAAGGAGCAACGTCCAAATTCGGTAGGCATATGAATAAATTGTCAATAATGGTTACATTGAGAAGTCCTGCATGAAGTTAAGCTCATGCAACCAACAAGCAATCTCCGAGTTCTCATAACCTAGTATATGAACAATCACAATAAACAATGGATGTTCCATCCTGCTTTGACTCTGAAAGCTAAACCCTTATATCTTATCATCATGGTGAACAGTTGATCCTAAGAAATGAAAATATTTACTCGCAGATATTTATGACTATTCACATGAAATATGTCTTTGTTTCTTGTTAATATTTTACGGAAGCCATAACTTTTACATTGCTTTTTTTGTCCAACTAAGAATTTAGATTCTCAAGTTTTTTTTTTTTTTTTACTTTCTTAATTTTATACATTTCTCCTTTAGAAGCTATCCATTTTCTAGCCTCGCGAAATAACACAACATTACCAGAAGAAAAAAACCATATACCGTGCTACTTTATTCATACTCCTAGGAAGTTCATCATAATTAACGCATGGCTTAACAACAATCCTTAACGTAAGCATATGATGATAGGAAATGGAGATGGTTCGTCAATTATTCTTAAGCTAGTTAGTATTTGATAATAAAGAAACAAACACACAGGCAGTGAATATATATCTCGCAAATAATTGTTTCTTCTATAAAAGCTACCCCATTAACCTCATGGCTAGTTGCCACTTGTTTTTCCTGGAACCTAACAAATAACCTTGACAACCCTACCATTGGCATTTCCTAGATAAACAATAATTGTATGTGAATCTCTTCTTCAGAATCCTTCTACTAATAACTAATGGCTTCTACAATGTACTTCAACAGAATAAATTCGAGTTGATTTGCTGGAAACTGGCTTCAAATTCTTAATGTTTTTTCAGTTACTTTCCCCAATACTCGCTACAAACCACATAGTTAGACACCAGAACAATTCGTACAATTTTGTACTTCTAAAATCCTCTAATACCAGTAAGCTCTCAAGATAGTTTTGTCTTTACGGTAAACTACAATTTACTTCAGAACCCTTCTACTAATAACTAATGGCTTCTACAATGTACTTCACCAGAATAAATTCAAATTGATTTGCTCGAAACTGGCTTCAAATTCTTAATGTTTTTTCAGTTACGTCCCCAATACTCGCTACAAACCATATAGTTAGACACCAACTTTGTAGTCCTAAAATCTTCAAATACCAGTAAGCTCTCAAAATAGCTTTGTATTTATGGTAAACTACAACATGTTTAATGGTATAAACTTACAAGCATATCTTATACCTATAAGAATAAAAGATGAAATAACATTCAGATGGTCACTTGGAATGTGATCAAGAGAATAGCGACGACATTTTACTTGTGTATGTTGTATTGGGGAAGCCATCAGCGGTCTATCACCATCTTTTTACTCAATGATATTGGTACTGCTCACTTGGAACAGACAAACTATGAGAACGAAAATATAGAGATGTGGGAGGCTTAGATGTCGTCGAAAATATAGGGAACCTGATAATTGTCTATGTAAACTATAAGGCATCGAAGGATGTTGAGAACAGATTGTCATGAACTGAGAATTATATTTTCTCAACAAAGAAGGAATAACACATGAGACTTGATTAGCAATAATAAGAAATTGTAATGTTTTACGTTTGTAAGACCAAGGGCATAACCTTTAATCAGTAAAAGAGAGTACATGCATAAGATGAATATTACCTACATTAATGTAATAGTAGGGTAATCATGCTCACCAGTTGAATAAAAGGCAACCAATAATGAGTGGCAAGTAAAAGTGTACATATAAGAGTGAGCAGAAACTGAGAATGAAGAAAGTAAGTATTTCATGCATTTCCAGATATGACTCAGCAGTAAAGTGATTAAACTTAAAATACTAATATTGAAATGATGTAACATCACAGGAAGGATAAAATTCCTTACTCAGCATCCTTAGTAAATCTCCTGATGATAATCTTTTTGTGATCTGCTGTTGTACACTCTCATAGCGTCTGAGACAATGATCAATTACTATACATGAGTAATTGGTGGCAGCATAACATGATCAAGGTTCTTAATCGACCAACGACAAATAACAACTCTTTTTTAAAAATCTATATAAAAGCATACTTGGTAAAGAGGTCTATTGCAAGTTTGATGAGGCGCCCTTCAGAATCAGGGAATATGATGAGATAGGCACGTACTGTTTTAGAAAATACGCCAATGGAAACCTAATTTCAGAAAACAATAAAGGACAAAACAGTAAGGTAAATTGTTTACAGTTAAACTTACGTACAAATACAGATATGCTTAGTAAAGCCTGCAGGACATTCCCAAAAAATTCAAAGATGAAAACATGATTATGAAGATAATGATATGCTTAATGCACTGGAGGAGCCAGACATGCCATGTGAAGTCATGGAATCCACAGAATTAGATTCTATTTAAGTATGCAACACTCTGGAAGTGACGCCACATCGTTATCTGTGCTTTTCATTTCATTATTTTTCCTTGGTAGAAAAACTATGTGTATTTTCTTTGCCTCGGAAAGCTTACTGGTTATATCGGATATGTTATACTAATGGTATATGTTTTTCTCTTGAAGACCCTGTTACATTTTAAAGGGCGTGAATAGGTCTAGCATCAAGATTTTCCACAAAAAAGTATTCTGGCATCTAGCTCATGGTCAAGGGCATACGCCAACTGCAATGGAACATTCCACACTGGAAACAGGTTATTTAACTCCGTCACCACCCTTGATGTTCTGCACCTAACATAGAATTTTCATAAAACCAGCTGTTTTCACTTTTTATTAGTTTTAACCTCCCGCTTAATATAGGATCGCTATATCCCTCGCAATCTTTTCATAAAATTAATTTAGAGTGTTTTGGCGCAAAACACGCAGCTAAATCCGATGTTAAAACTTAAAACCTAAGCTAACACTCCCTGTTCTCTTTTCTTTGTCCATTAAAGCCTGTTGTTTGAGAAATTATTCTTGAGTGAATCTTTTGCAATAACTTGCTGTAGTACTCTTTTCAGAAGTTAACACTCAAGTTTTAAGTGTGTTCTAATGAGTGCGAGATCAATCTCGTCCAAGCAAGTTCTCTGTGTAGACAAATGACCAGACAGGCAGAGAGATAAGGTTGAACAGGATCCATTTATGTGTTTACTATTACTTACCGACTTTCCCTCACTCTGCTCCCTCTTTATTATTTCTTGCATGTTACTCTCACATGATCACATCAACTATTGTTGTATCATATTATGAACTCATAATTTGCATTCTTTCCTCAACCACACATCAGCCTCGGGTTCCACATTTTCTTAGAGTTAAGTACTGGCAAGCATAGGTATTCCATATATGAACTAAATTCAAACCAACAGACGAGACAGGAAGACTTATTGGGCAAAGAAAAAGAAATGTTACGGAATCCACATTTGCACGAGGTGATTTCACAGGTGCTGGACCAGGAGACTTCTCCACTGCAGATGGTTCGTTATTCTCGGAATCCACCACTTTAGGTTCGTTCTTGAATTTCACAAGATAGTCTTCCAGCTTTTCAAGTAGCTTTGCTTTCAAGTTGTCCACCTGAAAAAATAAAAGGGAAAATAGCTAAGCTTAACTTCTCCAATGTCGTGCTTGGCAAGTAGGGAAATGTTTTTGGATGTGTAATGTATAAATTTATGTAGGATCAAATCCGACATGGAACGAACAAATGAGCATAACTTAGCCAGGAGAAGAAAACAAACTATATATCATGGTATAATCAAACAAATTACAAGATTTGAAACAAGATGCGCATATATGCTCCGAACTGCTATTATTCAGTATCCTCATGATGAAGAAAGAACTTGCGTTCGTGTAAGTAACACTAAACATCTACGCTAGAAATAATGCAAAAGATGTCCCCTGTATGTTTCACCTAAAAGAATGTCATTTGTAAGTTATGGACACACTTTATCTGTTAAATCTTGTAGCTTCTACACAAAGGATTAGCCTTTAAGGGAGAGTAAAACAAGGATATGCGTCTAAAGTTAGCTAAATAATGAAATGCTTCTCTGAGGAACAAATCAAATAATCTTAACGAAGTAGGAAACTAAAAGGGTAAAATACCAACAGGGAAGTTCAGCTGTTTAAGAAGCACAACCGCTTCTGCTCTCGCTTCAATAGGTTCAGAATCCGAATAAAGCTTTGCCTGAACAAATGCATATAAATATAGAAGGATTTAGAAGCATCCATAAATAATATAACTTTATTGGGAGCACCAGGATGAAATAGAAGAATCTAGGCTAGCAGAGTAGTGAAAATTTCCTGGTGTCATGCTCTATTAGTCATTACTAGAATAATAATGTCAGAGGGGCTACCTGAAGGTTCTGGATGACTAGGTCCATGGCCTCCTCAGATGCTTTCTTGCAATCTTGAAAGGATGAGTCACCATATGCCTACACAAATAGGAAACAGAAGAATAGTGCCCTTAGAAGATTACCATATTGCCTACTAGAAATATTGAGAGAATGTTAATAGAGAACAAGCTGGAAGATAGACATTAGAAACAAAGAAAAAATGATTAAACACCTCAAAAATAGGCTTGGCTCCTGTAAAAAATCGCACTGCATCTGCATATGCTTCTGCCTTGATGCACTTTCCAAGTCGGACTGGAAGATCATAAATGAACTGCACTTCCCACAAAAGATATTACATTACATGAGCTGCTTACTTCATAATATTCCATAAACAAGGAGAAGCACTCCCATACTCTTTAAGAAGACATACTAGCTACTAAACTATGCCTAGTGATGGGTGTAGCTCAGATCACGACATAGCTCAACAAATGAAAAGTTAACTTTTAGTGATATCAGGCTTTTCTTCCCCTTCTTGTCCGTGTATGACAGGACTTACTAAAGCATGTATTCTTAGATTCTAATCCGTTATTTCTTTTAAAGAGATAATTTGCTAAGCCATCAGAAAATATTACGTTTATGAAACAATGGTTCATGACATTGATGTTTTTGCAAATATCAGAATTTTTGCCTGGGAGAAATGGACAACACATCATACAATGAATATCAACGGTCAAAATGATAAAACCTTATTCCTCTGGAAAGAGTCTAATTTCAAAGCCTATTGACCAGATTCCATAACACAGTATGAGAAGCCCCTTAAGAAACAGCCATAAGGCCCATAACAAAAGCTCCCTTCACACACAAAAGGTACCATGACAACATGTGATAATAATTTACATACAATGATCAAAGGGAAATCATAGACGTTCAAGATGAAGTAATCAATCACCTTGTTTAAAGCATACAAAAGATAAACCATGCAGATAAAAGCAAAAAAACTTCTTTGTCTAGAGTCTTAGACGACAGTTTTCTCCTGTAATTACGTTTTAATGGAACATGATGTTTACTTGGCAACCAGCCAGTTTCTATCGACTACAGAGTAATCTTCTACAAGCTAGGGTCAACTTGAAGCTTTTAACAATTACAGTTTAACATACAAATGTCATACGAACTAACTCTTTCTTAAATGGGGTGCCAGCCGACATTGCAGTTCCACCTTGAATCTAGGAAAATTGATATGATCAGAAGATTCAACAGCAAACAAATACGTATGGATAAAGCTGTATAGGCGTTCATTTCACACCTCTCTACTTTCCAACTTCTAGTTTTCATTCTCAACTCTTTCCTACACTAGGTTCCAAGTACACATAGATCTGCTACATGAACTCTCTCTCTCTCCCAACTCCTAAGTGTTGGGTCTGGGTCCATACCTATGTATGGACTCAACCATCCATCTTCCTGACATGGTTAAGAGAACTGCCAATTGTGGTCAAATTGATTTGAACCACGTGAGATTAGACTGAGACTTTAGTCATCTCAGGATTGAAGTGGTAGATGGAAGGAAAAAAAAGAGTGGATCATTCAAAATTTTCATTCTCAATTAAGTGTGGAACCTTGGGAGAAAAAGAAAGGAGAAAAAGAGGTGAGGCAAGTAGAGTTTGCAGGAACCCATTTTGGCTTGATTTCAACAATTTTACACCACCTCAGCAATCTCTACAAGATCAGATCCTTCAAGTACAAATTTCAACATGTATTATGTAGGCTTGAAGCTTAGTGAGATAAACCTCATGTTTTTTTCCTAAAGTATTTGAGACTCAAGCTTCCACGAAGTTTTGAGTAGTTATAACTTAATGTTGCTTTCTTCTTGATCAGACAGTCGAAAGATCCCTCATTTTAACTTGAGGACTTTCGTCCATTATGGTTGATTAGAAGTTATTTATTGTGCATTTCATCACTCTACTCTCAAATTGATTTTGTGGTTGGGTTTTTTTGCTCCCAAGGCTAAAATTGCGGGCCCTAACGAAATAAAATGGAGTTCTAAACCACCAGGCATCTGTGTTGCTTGTTGGAACAAAAAACCACTTGCCTTCGAGTCCATTTGTATAAGACGTTCCTACAGACATCATTGCTTACAGGGACTAGTAACAGCTCCAACAAGTTAAAGAAGCAGGGTACAATTCCTTTGATTGAACAACCCCACCAAAACCACATAAAATTTAGAATTGTAGTAGAGTTAAAAAAAACTAACAAAAATAATGTGCAGGCTCCTTGAAGACTTTGCCCAAACCATCAGATTATTTGTTGTGGTCTTGACTAGTGTTTTCAAAGGCGTGCGCATCGCTACACCTCATGCACCCCGCGATGCATGGCAATGGTGAAGCGCCCTGCGTCTGATGCAGCCGCACCTTTTGCGCCTTGCAAGTGACCAGTGCTTCACGTAGGACACATGTTAGAGATAGCCACATATAGTTTTGTTCTTTAACATTTCAATCGGGCCTTAATACTCGAGGACTCAACCCCAAAAAGCAAAAAACCTTTAGGCCTTTCTAGTAGCTCGATTGAGGACCGTAAGTTCGCTTCACTATTAGTCTCGATTTGACTTTCGATTTGAAAATTTATGAACTTCGCTCTATGTTGGATGTGTTAGCATAAAAAATTAAGACCTTATTTTGTGATTTCATAGTAGATGTTGTTTATTGTAACATATTTTTATGTGAAAATATATAAACTTGCTCTTTCGTGCTTTGATAAACATCTTGAAAGTTATGTGTGTGATGTGCGTCTCGCTTCACTCAGGCACGTGCATTGCATATTGCGTCTTGTGCATGTACATGTAAAGAGACTTTGAGCTCCACATTGTGCCTTGTGCATTGATAACACTGGTCTTGACAAGTTAGAACAGGTAGACAATAAAATTGCACATTTCAGGGGTAGTAGGCGCTTGTGCCCAAATCGTTCACATCGGAAGAAAAAAAGATGCAGCTTTCTTCTGGGGTGTAAGTTTTTCTTAATCACTAAACAATTTGATGTCTGTCAGTTTAAAAGGTAAAAGTTTAAAATTATGCAATCATATAACTCAAAATCTAGACAGGTTTGGAAGTTATTTGTCAAAAATTCAACCAGAAGATCACAAAAAGTGTGGCATGACTAGCATCATTAGGTCTTATCCCTCTATCACATTCAAAATATTTGTGGTTAGTGGTTGTCTTTAAAACTATAATATTAACAAAAACACTTCAGATTTTTGAGTTTACTTGAACTTTGCGCAGAAGATTTTGAGTACGGTGCAATTTTTCTATGTGTTCTCTTTTCTTGAACAAAGATGTGTTCACTCCATCACTTCGGGATTGCACAGACATAATCTGCAACATGTAAAAAACTGAGAATTTTCTTAGGTATACAGGAAGCAATGAATATGACATAAATTCATAGATCAGGATCAAGGAATTACCTTTTCAATAAGTTGCTCCATGTTAGCCTCCATTCCAACAATATTATTCTTCATCCTATAACAAATGCAGTTAGATAGTGTCTTCCATACAAGGTTACTGATAATTCTAGAATAATAGGAGAGTCAATCATGTTCCTATTTCAAGCCGAAACCGTAGCAAGGAAAGTGCAAAACATCTATTCAAAGTTTGAGAAAAATTCATGGGTCGAATTAACAAGAATATTTCATATGTTTAAAAAGGATTCCGTAGATAATTGTTTCCCCTACACATCTCAACAAATAATAACATAAGCAGAAGGGGTTTGGGGAAGAGGGAGGTAATGCTGCAAGGGAAGAGGTCAAGGTTACCTTTTTATAGTATCTGTTGCACTGATAAACTTATTGTAGTTTTCATAAACTAACATCTGCAAATCTGTATCAAGATTTTTGATCTCAGCAGCCATCTCAACATGTTTGCGAAGCAATCCCTCCAAATTTGACTTTTGAACCTAGAAAAATAGAGAAGCAAAATCATAGTTTTTCCTCATGCCAGTTGGACATTAACACCATTAAACATGCGCAGTTCCAACTTATTACATGATGGGATCTACCCCATATCGGAAAGCAGCATCCATATCATCAACAGATTTGCTCACATCATTCAATATGCTTAACATACAGACAGGTGTACGATCATTTAGATAGTTTCTAAGCAATGGCTTAAGTATTCTAGTCAATTAATCTGCAAGCCATCACGCAAGAGTTTTGCATCTAGCCCAACTACTGCTTTCATATTTGCAGTGAAATCAATCAATTCACGGTAGGTTGCACAAATTAAACGAATACTATGCATATCCTTCAATTCCAATTATGTGAACCTTTGCTGTAAAGATCCACATACATAATATGTATAGCACAAGTACACAATAAACACAAAAAGCATGAGGTTTCAGGCAATAAGATGGATCAAGTACCATCCACTAAATAATCGCAAATGAAGTATATCAAAGCTATATATTACACATGACAGAAACTGTTTAATCATAATGATACAAACTCATTTAATCTTGACATTGAAGAACATAATCCCATCACCATTAAAGTAAAGACATGTATGCATTAGAGACAACAACCTTTTTATTCACTGTATTGAGCCAAAATGTATAGAATTTTGCATTAATATTAAATTTTCACGCCAATATCCGTACAACATAATAAAGAAAATATAAATGAACCCTCAGAGAAATCAAAAGACCTTAGTCTCATTTTAAGTTGAATATGTGTATCCTACTTGTCAAGTGCCAATGTAATATATAATCACATACATGCTCTTACAAATTAATCTATTAATTGAAGCTTGAATTTAAACCAAGGAACCATGCTAACGGTACTATAATCTCTTGCAGCTATGTACTCAAGAGGGTGACATTGATGGACCTCTTGCCAACAGCAAGCCCAAGACAAAAATAAGGAAGCACATTCTGCGTGTTAGTCTCTTGCGTACCTCTCAAGGGCGGTTACAACAAGCATTTCTGAAAGTTAATAGACATGCAAGAGGACACACCACATGTCACAGTGAGGATTCAGGAATAAGGAGAAAATTAGGATATGAAATCTCACACATGCCGAAGTTCATGAGACCTAATTCAATTTAGGGCTGGTTTAAAACCAAACGAATGAAAGTCACTCTCAGTCTATCTTCAGTCAATTGAGATCATCCAGGGATTTGGCTCCAGTCAATTGAGATCAATAAGATTTGATTCTGTTCCAAAATCAAGTAGGATGGATTCTGTACAAATTTGGGGCTTTATTGGGATATTACGGTGAGTTCCCAGAGGCCTAAAGGCTGCTCAATTTTGCATATAGTTCTGCTTCTTTTTCTACCTGGATGCACGATGATATGTGAGTACAGGATACTTTCTCAGTTTCTCCAGCAACTAGATCAATCTAAACAGAATACAACAGACTCCACACAGCCATCATAATGTGCTACATCTGAACAAGGAAGAGAATGCCTACATTTCTATAGAAGTTGCAAATTACTCAGAAGTTGGACTATCAAATCTCACTGGCAACAAAAATCGGTTAGAAGTAACTCAAGGCAGGTTAAAATCCAAAGGACAGTGAAAGCTCTCCATCAGAGAAATTTGGTCAGAAGCCACCCACGGTCCAGGCTTCAGTCAGTCTTCAGACCTAACTGCAAGTTTTGGTTGGCAAACTAAGCCAGCAAGACAAGATTCGTCTTTCCAAGCTTCAGTGTTGTAAATGGCGGCCAATAGCGGGGCTATAGCGGCGCGAATAGCGGTCGCGGGTCTTCAGCGCTACGCGTAGGGGTTTCGCGGTTGGCTTAAGCGGGAAAATCCGCTATTCTTCGAATAGCGCGTAAAAGCGGATTTTAGCGGGTTAAAAGCGGGTTTTCGCGGTTAAAAGAGGATTTTCGCGGTTAAAAGCGGATTTTTGTTGTTAAAAGCGGCTAAACCCGCTATCACACATATTATGATGCTCTATTTCTTGAATTTCTTCATAGTTTCATTCATACAACAAGCTTATTAATTGTTATTTATTGATAATACAAGAAATTTATAACTAATTGAATTTTTAGATTTTTTTATGAATTTTCTTATTATTTAGGATATTTAAATATATTTAAATTTGACCGCTATTTGACTGTGCGCTATTTGCCGCGATTTCGCCGCAATAGCCCGATATAGCCTTAGCGGTACCTCGCCGCGACGCGCCGCGATCCGCTATCAGCAACCTTGCCAAGCTTTGACATAACCTCAGTGAGCTACACTTTTGTTATAATTTTCATGAGCTTCCAGCCTATATGAGAAAACTTATTGTTCATGATGCCAATGGTCATATGTATGCTAGAGATGTATGTGTTGGGTGAGGCTAGACTTGTTGGAGCCCCATTTTGTGTTTTGTTTTTAGCTTTGATACATGTTCCATTGGCTATATTGCTCCCCAATTTTGCATATATGTTGTGCAACTGGTGGATGCCTTGTGTACGTATTTGCTTTCATATGATATGATGCCCATCTAAGGACCTCTCCATCTCCATGTGTAGGATACTTTTTTTTTGTTTGTTTGTTTTTTTTTTGGGGGGGGGGTGGGGGGGGGGGAGATTCAGCACCAATGTGAAGTAGGATGAATTTGGGGCTTTTATTAGGTATTACGTTGTATTATTCACAGGTTTTTATCAAGGTTATCCAGCTAGTCTTCTGCAGTAGAGAATTAGGGTAGAATTCTCTATTAGAAAGGAAAACCCAGAACAGTAACAGATCACGTTAAGAATACCATAATGCACATAAAAACCGTAAGATAAAGGTCATTCACAAACTTCATTCAAACTTGCTATTCCGTTTTCCTCCATCGATCACTTCTAACATATCATTTTGCAAACTATAATGAGTATACTGGAGGAAATCTTTCCTTTTCTGAGGCCACAAATAACTACAGTAACACTTACATTCTTTGCCTCTAAAACTTTTCAATTGCCAGAAGAGGAAACTCGTGCTTCCTGATCCAATGAGTATTGTTGTTCTTTGAAGTCCAAGTAATTATCGAAAATTTAATGCATATGGCGTCGCAGTCAACTAATCAGTATTCTGCAGCATTCCATGCAAAATAACCATAACAATGGTATAATGCAATTTTATTCCTTCGACTTTTAAGAATCGGTGATGACCAGAACATAAAGGAATGATTCGAACAACAAAAGCAACACACATTTAACCTACAAGTATCATAAATTAAGTTGTGAAATATATAATTCTGCAAGTCAGTGCACTGCATATGAGCCGATATCAGATCTCATTCTTATTTTGACCTAGGGGGACCTATTTTGAGTCTTCCCGATCACTTTGCAACCCCCCACCCCACCCCCACCCCCGCGCCCCCACCCAAAGAAAAAACCTAAAGCTAAATTAATGATTCAAAGATCCACAAGCCGCTCGATGATAAGCAAATATATTCAACGTAGATGCATTAATTCATGACATCGAGAGATCTCCGGTACCAGTTAAACTCATGCTAGACACGTCGGGTCAAAGAAGCGGAGTTGTGATGGAATCCAGCGAGGGCGATCATTCGGGGACGCCGCGGGGCGGCGGCGATGGATCCGCGAGCGCCCTAGAAGCTCGCGAGGAGCTCTCGAGTCCTCTTCGCCTTCTCGTCCATCGGCGGAGCGTCGTCGATCGCCATTACTCGATCTCAAATCTAGATCACTCCAGCTCTCGGGCTCCCTTCTTCTTTCGGTTAGATCGCCGGATCGGAGACTGAATGGGCCTAAAAGGCTACTGATTTCTTTTTAGACCGGAGATTGAAATGATTTACGGATTTGTTTCCACGATAATGGGCTTTGCTATGTTATTGGGCTTTAGCTCTCTATAAAGTCCAGTAAAGAGGTGTCCATATAATACACACAAGTTTTCGTAGGGTAAATTTCACAAACCCCCAGACTTTGACGTGATTCCCGCAACATGATTATGAGCCGTAAAGTTAGAAAGTCGGTTAAAAAAAAGGACAAATTTTCAAAATCTACTCTTTTTAGATTTTTTTTACAGCCCTTTGAGATTTAGAATCCTGTGAAGTTTAGTCACTGGATTACTCAGCCTAGTCACGAAGTTTTATTCGCTATTTTCGATTTAGTTTTAACTAGTTGACTAAAACCGGGTCGCACTTTCATACATTCCGGCCTCTAGTATCGTAAGCAGGCGGAATTTGAATCTGATACCGTTGATACTGTAAACTGTTTTATTACATTTATGACCTTTGTCGTATGCATATTTTTGTCGGGCGACGTCATGCTCACAAGAATTTTCGTAAAATGGGGGAAAAAAAAAGCAAAAGTCAAGTCAACCGTTGTGAGCAGCCCATGAGGTTCAAAGAATTTTGTTTAACTAGGTTGCTTGCCTTGAAGAAGAAAGGTAACAAAAAAAAAACACAGCTCTTTAACTTCCACGACAAAACGAGGGGATGAAAGCTAAGGAGTCGCCAAGGAAAATATCCTACCGGTCACGGTCACCGTATTAATCTTTTCCTTCGTGACTCGTGTGGATAAATCACGTACATGCTTGGATGCGTATAATTATACAAGTTGCAAGACGTCCAAATCAAGATCCGTAGCCTAGAAAATTGTGAGAACTTGTATTTTTTTTTTCCAAATGATTAGCTAGCCAGATTCAATGAATCGCTATTTCGTTCTGCTTTCCGTGTTTGTTTAATTAAGAAAGAAAACCCAATGATTAACTTAGGGGGTGTTTGTTTCGCCCTTTTTTCGTGGGATAGGAATATGAATTGAATCTGATAGGGGTAAAATCGTAAATAAATTATTCTTTATGAATCATATTCCTGAGTTTCGTTCACAACAAATTTATAGATTTCGAAATCTATAAAGTTGAAAAGTATGATGATTTTATAGAAACTCGAATCCTAATGATTTGAGAGGATTTTGGGCAAAAAACTGACGCACCTGTACTATTCTCCCTCTCTTTTTTCGGATTCTGTATCTTCACAAACCTTATATTATTATGAGACCAAATTCTATTCTCATTCCAAACCAAACAAAAAAATAGAAATTTAAAGGTTTCTATAAAGTTGAAGTACATTTTTTTATGTTATGAAACAAACATAAAAAAGAGAAAAAAAGTTCCATGAATTCATAAACTTGTCTTAAAATATGGATTTGATAGGAATCCATAAAAAAATCGGATTCATAATCCTCTTCTTGTCCACTATTGAACCAAACACCCTAGGTGTATTATGGAAAGAATATCTTCCACCCTTACCCCTATCAGTCCAAACATAGGAAGACTGGCAAGTTTCAGGAAAAAGCCCCAACTTTTGGGTGATTTGTGTAAAAGGATTGCGAACTTTTAAATCTTAGAGAAAAGTACCTAAGTTTGGGGAAGCTCTACTACTTAATCCAAACTTTAAAAGGTTTCACCTGCGCACCCACCCCAACTTTGGACAATTATCAGATAACCTCACATCAACATCAATAAACTCCTGTGAGTATAGGATTATCAGAGACTTAAAGTTTAAATTTTTACTAGAATACTCCTTTTAACTTTCTGATGCCCCCCTAAACTTGAGGGGGGTTCTGGTATTTTCATAGTTATAGGAGACAAACTGATAGCGGTCCAAAGTTTGGGGGTGGGGGTTTAATATTTAACCCATAACAAGACCCGCCACTCTTAAAACTCACAACTTAATTTTTTTTTTTTTTAAATGGTGCTAATTTGTACGCGGCAAAGGTAATTGTCAAAAGGAATTTTTAAGCGATCAAATTGTTAATGTGACATCCCCACTTTAGTCCCATGTAGACCAATGTGAAGAAATGTTAACGGTTTAAATAGAGAAAAGCCAAAGGTTTAAGAATAACTAGCGTTGGTATTTTGACAGTGGAGATTAGTCAACACCGAGTTACTATCTCTAGGTCTCACGGCTTGCACGCGCCAATAGGGCCCGTGGGCTCGAGGCGTGACACTTAAAGAGTGAGTTGAAAATAAAATGAGAGATGATTCGCTATGTGATTGTTTACTAACATTGTATATTGACAACAAAATATATGATAATATTACTAGTGATACGATTATGTAATTTTTTTTTCTAAATATAAAAACTCATTGGCATTACTGTAAACTTTTTTAATCATGGCACGATTTTTCTAAAATCCTCGGTACTCGTATGTTAAGAACTTGTTAGAGAAGAAAGAACAGAGATAAAGTAGGGGAAATTAGAAAAATTGTTTTGTGATTTTACAGAGAGAGAGAGATCTTATAAATGGTGTGTAATAAGTTATTTTATTTTATTTTTGCAAAGTCTATGATTTTTGTGAAACTATCCAGATTTTTTTTCAGGGGAGCTTTTCTTGTATTTAAACTTCACAGTGGTGTATTGTGCAAATTATCCAAAAGCTCAAGGGGCTCTCTGAAATTTACTCAATAAAAAGTGTCGCCGTCAAGGGTCATTCCGGGAAAGAAGTTATTACTCCCAGCGGGACCCAGCCTGTCCGCCTCCAACTTTTTGCTAAAAACGTGTTGGATTTCTCCATCGCAGGAAACAAATATTAAAATCCCCAATTCTCTTCCCTAAATGCCCCCGTGCCTCTTCCCTAAATGCCCCCGCTTGTTTTATAAATACCCGAACCCCGATCCCTCGTTAAGCTTCCGCACTCTCTTATCTGGTTTCCCCTGGGCGATTCTGATTCCAGCTAAGTTTTCATTTTCTCCTCTCTTTTGCTTCTATTTTCTGTCGTTAATTTGTTGTTAGGTTTAGAAATTTGTCAAAAAAAATCCGATCTTTTTGGGTGAAAGCCTGGTTGTTAGGTCAAAACTTCCTGATTTAGGTTGAAACGAATCTAATTTTGGCGTGCTTTGCATCCATTTTAGCGGTGGAAATCGAATTCGATTGAAACCCCACGTCAAGAATCCGAGCTTTTAGGGTTCCTCCTATAGATCTCTGGATTTGCAGACAAATTGCTGCTTCAAGATCCCAAATTTAGGCTTTGTGAACTGATCCCGTTTCCTTTAGCTACGACCCATCTCCCAAGATCTCATTTTTTTTAGCTTTTATCCTTGCAAATTCCAGCTAATTCTCAAAAGTTCTACATCAAATCCAATTGTTGAGATCAGGAAACCCTTTTCGCTGTTCATGGTAGCCATGGTTTATATCTAGAACCCATCTTCAGCTCTCTATGAACTTCGCTGATTTCATCCGTCGTCCGATCCTTCAGTCCTTCTCAGTTCTCTTCCTCCACTATTTCTATGTCATTTCATGAATTAGATTACTAGGCGCAGTCAAAATATCCATATTCAATCAATAGAGTTCCAAGTTTTAGCCTTCAACCAATCCCCCCCCCCAAAAAAAAAAAATCACAACGTCCTCCGAAGAAGAAACAAAGCTCGTAATGGATCAGAGGAAGAGGAAGAGAATGATATCGAACAGAGAATCGGCGAGAAGGTCGAGAATGAGGAAGCAACAACAGTTGAGCGATCTCGTTAACCAAGTCTCGAAGCTGAAGGATGGGAACAACCAAATCTTGATGCAGATCAATCTCATAACCGAAAAGCTTCTTGCTCTCGACGGCGAGAACACTATACTGAGGACGCAGGTTATGGAGCTGACCGATAGGCTGAGAGCATCCAACTCCGTGCTCAGGTTCGTCGAGGAGTTCAGCGGGTTGGAGATGGACATACCGGAGATACCCGACCCGTTACTGAAGCCATGGCAGCTCCCTTGCCCTGCTCAGCCCATCATGGCATCTGCAAACATGTTTCAGTTCTGAATTTGGTTAAGGTTCTATGTTGCATTTGTATGTATCCTCTTTCTTTGTGATGTAAGACTCTTTTGGGTTGAATCTAATAATCTCCCATTTCATAATTTCAATGGCTAGTTGGAATGTCTGATGTAGATCATGAAAATGTTTTTTTTTTTTTTTTTTTTTTTTTTTTTTTTTTGTAATGGCCATTGCACATTGAGTTAGGACCATTTGGAATTTAGATCATAATGTATTATGTTGATGTTGTTGGGATGAGGAGGAAGCCAGATTTTGAGTTAAAGACTGCATCCTGAGTTCTGGTGTAAATCTCAAAATCTCAAAACGCATCACTTAAAAGTTTCAGCCATCTTCTTTTGATTTCTGATCAAGTTTCAGATCCCTCGAGAACTAGTGACATATTGCTTATTTCAGATACTTGCGTATTAACACCTACCTACTATTTAATTGTACATTCTTACTGGTACAAGGTTTCTCCAATGCATGTATATCTCCAAACGGAGAATTTTTTTTTTAAAAAAAACCATTTTTAAAAAATAATTAGCAAAAACGATCTTTTTTTTGCTAAATAATTAGCATACTCGACCTTTTTTTAGCCTGCTCAGGAAAGCTAGCTAAGAAGAGGTCGATTTTAAAAAAGGAAAATGATAGGAGCACACCCCCAACCACGCCCCTCTCTCTCATTCGCTACAGTGTACTGGGCCCCACATGAGATTTTAAAATTTTAAAATCTCATGTGGGGCCCGGTGCACTGTATCAAATGAGAGAGGGAGTGTGGTTAGAGGTGTGGTTGAAGGTGTGCCTCTAATGCCACCCTTTAAAAAATTTGGTGTTAAAAACACATAGGATTACTAGTCTTGTGTGTTTAGCGTTCGCTAATCAATTTTTAAACGCAAGCTAAAAAAACACATGGTCCTAATAATCTTGTATGTTTACACGTACAGTTATCGTGTAGAGTTCATAAACCAACCATCCCTAAATCTTTGACCTCTTTTTTTCTGCTTTGCCACACCCAATGTTATATTTTCACGCCCTTTTCTTGGTTATGTGCTCCATCTGTTACTGCCCTCAAATCGGAGTACAAGAAGGGTAGAAATGGAGTATATTTATCAAATTCTTTTTAGTTCATGAACGACTGTCCCCCTTTGACGTCATCCTTTACGTACGGTTATCCGTGTTAATAGGTGACTCATCACAAATCTAGTTGGTTTTAGTTAAACACAAGGGTTTACTAGTCCCGTGGGTTTTTTTAGCTTGCGTTTAAAGTTGATTGGCGAGCGTTGAACAGTAGTCCCGTGTGTTTTCAACACTAAATTTTGCAAAATCAACATCTTTTTGGTTCGGCTCGCCAATGCTAAAAAGAGGTCGATAAGTCTTTCAAAAGCTTTGCACGGCCGAGGAGATCGAGGATGCTAGTGTTCAAATTTTGGTTTTGGGCCTCCAAAATTGTCCCGCGTTTACAGACGAGGTACACAAGACCTGCTGAATTTCATATCCTAAAATTACGGACGCGCGAGTAAGAAAATTACAGTGCAAAAATGATGGCAGTACATTAAATCACCACGATCCGTTTATTCGGAATAAACCGTTATAAGCTGCAGGCAAATATCCGGGAGATCAAAACATTATTCGGAAAAAAAATAAATAAATAAAGACGTGAAAGGAAATAGCCGAATCTTGTTTCGACCTGTTGACTCCTAGACTCTTAACACACAGCGATAATCAAGACTCAAATTTTGGCCAACGACCGGGCCAGGATTACTCCGACCCCCTCGGTCAGGAACTAACGTGCACTCGGATTCGCCGGGGCATCGACGCCCTCTAACGGGTTCACCCGCACCTTGCTGTCCAGTTCGAACACGGCGACTTCGGGGTTCTCAGCGTGCAGCTCGTCCAGGCTCAATCCTCCGGCATCGACCGGGCCCGCATTGTCCCAGGCGAACCTGGTCAGAGGCGGCGGCGTGTCCGCGGCGTCATCTGGCCCCGGGGAGTGGGCGGCTGAAAAACGGAGAAAGGGGAGGAGGAGGAGGAGGAGGAGGAGGGAGTCTAGCCACCGCGGCATGATCGGCGATCGACGAAAGTTGATGGATGGGTTTTGGAGTATGCGTGGAGAGCTGAGAGGGGGAGAATTAATGGGGGGGTTTCATAGAGGATTTGAATGGTAGAAAGTGAAGTTCGGAAGTTAGTTCGGAGGATATGCGGATCTTGGTCGATGGTAAATAATTATTTTTGGATATGAGCAGGACTTGGTCTAAATCAGCAATTAATGAGAGGTAGAACATGACACGAGTATGGAATTATGAGGGAACTTTATACCATCTGCAGACTAATCAGACGTGGATTTTTACGTGGTACAGCAAAATGCCTACGTCCACCGCCGGACTAAGGACTTCTTGTTAGTCATTGTTAGTCAACAATTGAGGCCAACAAAACTTTCGGTGGCCTCAATTGTTGACATCAAGAGAGAGGGGGAGGTGCAGCCTCCGTTGTTGACATCAAGAGAGAGGAGGTGCCGAATTTGTTGACAAAAGAGAAGGCATGGAAGCTATAAAACCCCCCAACTGGTATCAGAGCTTCTCGGTTCTAGGACAGCTTTCAATCCTCTACAATGGCTTCTGTGAAGTTCTCGGTGTCGATCTTTGATGGCCAAAATAATTTCGGCCTATGGAGGATAAAGATGAAGGCTTTGTTGCGACGTGAAGGCACGGTTAAAGCTATCGATGGGAAATACCCAGAAGATATGACTAGTGCCGAGATCGAAGAGATGGACGAAAAGGCTCACAGCGCCTTGCAATTGTCACTATCCGACAATGTGCTTCGTGAAGTTGCCGATGAGGAAACGGCAGCGGGGTTGTGGTCAAAGCTCGAAAGTCTCTATTTGAAGAAATCTCTTACTACGAGATTATACCTGAAGCAGCGGCTATACACACTGAAGATGAAGGAAGGTACACCCATTCAGGAACACCTTGATGAATTTAATAAAATTGTCATGGATATGAAAAACCTGGATCTTAAACTTGATGATGAAGACCAGGCTCTCATTGTGTTATGTTCCTTGCCTGACTCTTATGAAAACTTTGTTAACTCTATGTTGTATGGAAGAGAATCCATAAGTCTTGAGGATGTGAAGGCCTCTTTGAACTCTGCTGAGTTGAGAACAAAGTTGAATGGGAGAGGTACCGATGGGCAGGCTGATGGTCTGCTAACCAGAGGTAGATCGAAGGCCAGAGAGGGTGATAAAGGGCAATCCAGAAATCGCTCAAAGTCCAGGTCAGCCTCAAACAAGAAACATGTAGAGTGTTTCTACTGTCACAAGAAAGGGCATTACAAGTCAGAATGTTATGCTCTAAAGAAGAAAGACAACCAGCGTGGTGAAACCTAAGATTCAGCTAATACGGCAAAGGCTGATACTGCCGTTGTTACTGAGACGGTTCTTACAGTATGTCCCTTGGATGGCCGTTCCGATAAAGAATGGATCTTGGATACAGGTGTGTCTTTTCATATGTGTCCAAATAAAGATTGGTTCACTACTTACAAATCTATAAGTGGTGGATCAGTTTTGATGGGTAACAATGCAGTTTGCAAGACAGTTGGCATTGGTACAGTTCGCATCCGGTGTCACGATGGGATAGTGAGAACTTTATCAGATGTGAGACACATCCCAGACTTAAAGAAAAATCTGATTTCTTTGAGTTCTTTGGATTCTATTGGGTGTTCTTACACTGGCGAAGGTGGAGCTCTTAGAGTTACTAAGGGTTCATTGGTTGTGATGAAAGGTAGTAAGGTGAACAGTCTTTATGTTCTCCAAGGCAGTACGGTGACAGGCTCTGCAGGTGTGTCTTCTGATGCTGATAGAGACACTACTCAGTTGTGGCACATGCGCTTAGGCCACATGAGTGAGAAGGGGATGGCTATTTTGAGTAAACGTGGCTTACTCTGTGGTGATCATACATCATCACTGGATTTCTGTGAGCATTGTGTGTTTGGGAAGCAAACTCGGGTCAGCTTCTCAACTGGCTCACATACAACGAAGGGCACTCTCGACTACATCCATTCAGATTTGTGGGGGCCTGCTCAGGTTCCATCCAAAGGTGGTGCTCTTTATTTTCTAACGTTTATTGATGATTTTTCCAGGAAAGTTTGGGTTTACTTTCTCAGGCGCAAAAGCGAGGTGTTCGAAACTTTTAAGAAGTGGAAAGTACTTGTTGAGAATCAAATTGGAAAGAAGATTAAACGTCTCCGAACAGATAATGGCTTAGAGTTCTGCAGTGGTGAGTTCAATCAGTTCTGCTCAAATTCTGGGATCGTACGACATCGCACGGTCAGGCACACTCCTCAGCAAAACGGGGTGGCAGAACGCATGAATAGAACGTTGATGGAGAGAGCTAGGTGTATGCTCTCAAACTCTGGCTTGGATAAAGGCTTCTGGGCTGAAGCTGTTAACACAGCTTGTTACTTGGTGAACCGGTCTCCTTCTACCGCCATTGAACACAAGACTCCAAACGAGGTATGGTCAGGTAAACCAAATGACTATTCAAATTTAAAGGTATTTGGATGTCCCGCTTACTATCATGTTAGAGAGGGTAAGCTTGAGCCTAGAGCTAAGAAATGCATATTTATTGGTTATGCTGATGGCGTTAAAGGCTATCGTTTGTGGAGTCTTGAACCTGATTCTCCTAAATTCATTATTAGTAGAGATGTTACTTTTAATGAAAGATATATGCTTGATCATGGGAAGGTTTCTGTTGAGTCTACAGGAAATGTAGAGAAGACCATGGATAAGGTGGAGCTTCAGGTGGAGCTCGAGGGAGAGACGTCTCAAAAGTCGTCTATAAAATTTGCTCCTACAGCTGTAGAAGAGCAACATGATTCAGGCTCAGATGCTGATGATGCTGAGACTGAAGAACCTTATTCCATAGCCACTGGCAGAGAGAGGAGACAGATCAAACCTCCTCAAAGATATGCACATGCTGAATTAGTGGCGTATGCTCTCACGACAGCTGAAGAGATGAGTATTCAAGAGCCATCAAACTTTACTGAAGCTGTCTCATGCGGAGAATCTGGACGTTGGGCCACAGCTATGACAGAAGAACTCGAGTCACTCTACAAGAATCAGACTTGGGATTTGGTGCAA